ACACGGAAAAATGTTTTCTTCGAATGCCTGCCTCCTAGAAGGCCAAAAAGTTGCATTTCGGCTTTTCTTTCGCTATAGATTTCCCTGTTTTATACGCAAATGATTCGATCTTTCGATAATACGACGTTAAAAACCGCACCAAGTGACCAATCGTAATTTTCTTTGCCTCGACTAAACTCAACGTGTTTATCGTGCTTTCCACGTTATCTATTTCCTAGTCGTTTGTTCTTTGATGCGAAACGTTTCAACTTTGTGTTTACCTTTCTCTCTACACTCTACTGATTTCCATGACACTCGTTAATGCAATCCGGCCAAGTTGCTCGCCGCGAACGGAACGGAACGGAACGGAACGGAATAACCGCACGGCCAAGCCTGCCGGGTAAGATAAAGAATGGAGGAGAGAAGTCGAGGAGGGAGGATGGAGGAAAGGGTGTAGCGATGGAGGGAAGAGAGAAATCGAACACGGGATTCTCTCGGGGGAGGAGCGAGAGCGACGGAGGAGAAATCGGAGAGGAACGAGAGAAACAGGGCGAGCTTACAGAGGAATCCTTTAGTTAGGTTGGAAAAGCGTAGACACGGCTGAAAGTTGAAAGGATTTGCCTGGATTAAGACGCGATAACGAGCTTCGCTCGCTCTCGAAAAGCCGCCCTTAAGAGGATCACGAACGACGCCGATTCCGTGATTGGCTGATTATCCGGCAAAAGTAATAGCGGCGGTTTATTGTTTTACCGATCCTGACACTTCAACCCCGCAGCAAGAGATTCTCCACTTGGTAACACCCTTCGCGAACATAAGAGAGATGAAAGATCCGCAGCGGACCACCGAGACAAAAGTAACCGACGGCGCATAGAAAACGATAGCAATTAGATAAATTGTCAGCCAAGAGAGACAATCGAGCTTGCCTTTGAAGCGTTTCCGTTGTACACGAGCTACGAGAAACGGTTGACACGAGCACGGAGAAAGGAACGTTTGTGTTTGTTTTTTTTTTCTTCTTCTTTTCTCTCCTCTGCGTTCTTTTTTCATTTTCTCCTTTTTCCGCGTTACTCCTTCCTTTCGCGACGTGAAATCGTCGGACGATTGGCAACCGACGCACGAATGTACTCAAGGCTATTTCTCGATTTTCCATGGAGATCGAATCGATCTCCACGCCTAGATGTCTCTGCACCGGGAAGAATTGGCAGGCCACAAAAGCGACGATGGAAAAGAACGCCCAATCGAAAGACAATGGACTTCAACGCCCTCCTTCCCTCCCCGAACGGAGAACCTCCGCATACACGTCACGTCACCTATTATTGCGATAACAGCTAATCAGTCGTAGGGATCCGACGAGTGTCACGAGATGCGATGGCAGCGTGAATCGTCGTAGACGTTCCGGAAGAAGAAAAACGAGAATATTTTCATCCTCTCGCGACAGATTTCCCATTCTGCTTCACGCCAGGGAGCTTCGTTCCGACCTAGAATTCGGACATCGAGTCCTCCTCGAGATGGAAACCAAAACGGATAATTAAATTCAGAAAGAAACGAGACTCCGGTCGAAATAAATAGAAGTTCAAAGTCGTTTGGTCAGTCGGTCGACTGGCTAGAGTCTTGCAAGTGCATGTAAATTGAAAAGGAGACGGATCGAGGATGAGGAGGAAAAGGAGAAGTAAGAAGAAGAAGAAGAAGAAGAGGTTTTCCCGATGGGGTGAGACAGATTGTTATACCTAAACAAATCGGAGGGGGATTGTTTGCAGTGGCATCGTTTTACGCATGAGGCCGCGACCGTTCTTTATTCCTTTCTCGATTCTCGAGAGCCGATGCCACTTGAACGAGCTGGAGTGCAAGCGAATGCACGGGACGAATAAGGACGAGACTCGGCGAAATAAAGCTACAGAAGTGAGAAGGAAAGAAAGAAAAAAAGAAGAAGAGAGAGAGAGAGAGAGGAGAGGGGAGAGGGAGAGGGAGAGTGGGAGAGAGAAAGGGAGTCGCGAGTCGGTATTCTCTGGGTAGGTCGTCGGTCACCCCCGCAGCTTAGCTTTGATCTACGCCGGCCTCCAGAACTACCACCCCCGCGCACGCACGCCCCACTGTTATTTTATCCACTTGGAGAACGCTTCAGAGAGTCGAAGGTGCTCTTAACCGTACATGCTCTGGTGCTCGTAGTCATCGTTGGTAAAGGAATGACGCCTGTGCGATTGTTTTTTCATATTCGTCCACCCTCTCTCTTTCCACCCCCGCAGCACGCGCGGACGTACAGAGGAACGTACGCGCCGTGTTCTTTTTTTCGGTTGCTGTTTATCAAACGAATTCATTGTCTCGTTAGGGAAACGATTCTCTTGGTATTCGAGTCACTGGACCAAAATGGTATCCTTTGCTCGAGTAATGGGTACAACGTACGACAACTGTGAAAAAAATTGTCTATTATCTAACTGGAACTGTGGTATGTGTACGCGATTCTTTGATCCCTTAAAAAGGAAAAAAAAATCGTAAGTATACAACGTATCTCGCATAAAAAAAAAAAAAAAAAAAAA